TAGAGTCTGCTTTGTTCTTCTGTGACTGCACTTTGCAGGTGAGAGAAGAGGACCAGAACCAGGATGGGAAACTGGACCTCCTGGTCTTTCAGCTGCAGCTTCCTCTGAAACCCAATGAGCAGGTGTACAGCATTCAGCTGCTGCTCACCTTCAGCTACCAGCTCTTTGTATGTATCCCACAGCATTACCCACTCGCACAGACACTCCATGAATCTGTTAAGCTAGTTAGTGCAAATTAAAGGTTGCACATTGGGCCATAAATAACACGGTTCACCACTAAAGATGCTCCAAAAAGGCACCAACAGCAATAAGATGGCCAAGAGGTTTAGATAGTTTAGGTTTGACCTTTCCTCTGTAGGACACACCTTTTAATCAGACAAGGCTTTCTACTAACTTTAAACCTGAGAAGGAGCCATAAGAAGTTTATTTCTTTCACTTACGAAACTAATGTTATGAAACGTGATAAAACTTGTGAGGTAATGGTGGGGCTGGAGCTAACGGCACAGATCACCACGTGATTTTTATCAGTTTTAGTAGCTTTGGGGATTTTTTAAAAGCCTTTTAAGCAGTTTTAAATGTCAATATTTCTCTCACTCTGCCTGCTAAAAATAGAATTAAAGCTGCAAGCAGCGATGAGAGGGCCCCCGCACCCTGGCGTTTATCCAGGTGCGCTGCGGTTGAGCCATGCTGGACACCTATGCCCACTAGGTGGCGATGGAGAATACCCTCTAATGATCTCTGAAGCATATCAGACGTTAGCTGTATCCCAATTCAGGGTCTGCAGCCTTAAAGTACGCAGCCTCAACAATCTTCAAGGGCCGCGTACTTAAAGACCGCTAAGGCCGGAAGTGCGAGGCTTGTGAAATGGGACGGTCTAGCCTCCGTCGCGCTGCCCAGGTTGCCTAGCAACCATGATACTAACAGCTGGAAACATTTCATACAGCTTTGTTTGACAGAAATGAAGGAGACAATCTTTTGTTCATTTGCTTGTTTGCTTCTACATGAGCTTTGATCATTCTCTGTCAGATTAAGCTCAGCTATTGAACGGCGTATATTTTAAAGTAAAGGCTTTAAAACCAAGTTAGTACAAACGTCACTAATGTCACATAACTTTGCCGACATGTGGCCAACAATAATGTTTTAATGTTCTTCGTTAGTAAACATTTGCACATAAATAAGTGACATAATATTCAGTACTTACTTAAAGTTTACTCTTCGGTTGCCCCTCATCCGCCGGGTTTTTTTTGGCAAAATTATCCACACCCACCGCCGCACTATGCATTCTGGGATATGTTGGGCCACGAAGTCTACACCGCCACGTCCTTAAAATTCAGGGAAATTAAGAATGCATTTGAGGGCCGCATTTCGAGCAGCCTTTGAATTGGGACAGCCTTCGTCGCGTCGCGGTGACGTAATCGGCCTTAAAATGCGGCCTTTAAGGCTGCAGACCCTGAATTGGGATACAGCCGTTGAACCACAAGTGAAGACAGGAAATAACCTACTGTGTATTTCCTGTCTCCACTAGGTGGCGCCATAAGTGTGACCTAATATTGGCACACAGATGTCTCTAGACTCGCATCGAGGCTGTGAAGTTTGGGACATACTGGATGATGTTTAGCTGAGATTTGACAATGTCGTGTCCTGTGGCGAATGAGTGAAAATTAGCGTGCCGCCAGGACCACGCCTTTTCGTGAAAATTCAAAAGCTTCGCAATTTAACATCACTGAAGCCTTTAGATTGTACTCACCAAAGCTCATGTAGATCTGATAAAAACCCTGGGAGGAGTTAGCTAACGTACGAGGCCTGAAAATGGACGAAATTGCTGCAAAATTCCACTTTAAATTAAAAATGGCTGACTTCCTGTTAGGTTTAGGTCAATGGGCCCCTGGACTTTTTGTTTGTTTCATGTTATGCATGTTTACCAAATTTGACTCATGTAGCTCAGCTATGTGTCTGTAGTACTTCTTAATAGCCAGCATCGGTGGCGCTCTAGAGCCATTTTGAAACGCTAAATCTGTAAAATATGTAAATTTTATGTAAATTTTCAGCAGATCTGAGGCGTATGCACAATTTCACGAGTTTTTGAGCCTCAAATAGGCGATTCATTTGCCTGAATATTGATAAACAACAGAGCAGATACAATAACTTCATACTTTTAGTGCTCGGGCCCCAATTATTACATGTGTAAACACATTTTTCCAGACAGGTAATAAATGTTACCTGTTTAATAACAGGTATTTCAAAGTGCTGTAAATAATCAAATGTGGCCTTCAGTGTGACAGCACCAAAGCAGGGCCTTCAGGACCGTCTATGGCTGGTGGTTCAGCTAAAGCAGAGCGTAATATTTGTTGTTGTTGTTGTTTTCCCAGCGGATGTCCACCGTGGTGATGCAGAGTCTGGCATACATGCAGCACTCCTCTTCTGTCCCCGGAGC